CCTCTCCTCTCCTCTCCTCTTTCTGCTGCTAGCAGCAGCACCTCCAGCTCCCCCGAGCTGCAGGTTTTTGGGGAGCCGGGTGTTACTCCTGCGGCCAAACTCACCTTGTGGCGGGGTCATCGTAGCTGGCTGTCAGCACAATGGTGCCGTGCTTGATCTCTTGGAGGAAGGCTTCCAGTTTGTTGATGTCTGGGAGAGAAGAGCATTAGGAAAAGAAAAAGGGATTTAGTGGAGACTGCTGCATGGCAGCTGGAGGAACCTCCTCTGGATGGGTGGGAAGTTTCCTGGCTGTCCTGGTGCTAGCCAGGATTTGGGGTTGTGGGCCTGGGGCTCCCAGATGCTGCATTGCCCATCTTGTGTTCCCACCTGGGCTCTCCCACAGCGCCCAGGGCTGGTCCTTTCCCCCTGCCGGTACAACTGCAGGGGATAATTTGCGTCTAAAGTTTGCTCATTAACTGTGAAATTTAGTTACCTGAATTTGCTTCCCAACACAAGAAATGAACCCGCTCAGCCGCGGAGCTGCCTGCCCTGCGATCATGCCTTCGGCTGTGTTGTGGGAATTATTCCTCATCCTGCATCCGTGGGATGCTCAAGTCCAACGCCCCATCTAGTGGCGCAAGAGCCGACTGCTGTCTCCTTCCCAGCGCCTTTCCCACCGCGCGTTTCACTCACAAACTCAGCCTGAAATCTCATGGTAATGGTGTTTCTCGTTAAAACTCCAGAGTTACTAAGAACAGGTTGCAAAGCCAAAAAGCAGAAAGGGTGATGGATCCCTGGGGAAGGCTCAAACAGCAAAGGGTAAATCAAAAGCATCGTAGTGGTGTTTTTAGCATGTGATTTTGAGGAGTCCTGCCATAACTCTGGAGAGTTTCGTAACAGCTTTGCAACAACGGTGGGATTTACAGCATCCTGCGGGTCAGTGCCAGCTGGGCTGTGAGTGGGTCCTGCCTCAGCTCAGGGCATCTTCTTGCTGTTAGGAAGAAGCTGTTGTTTGAAGCTGGCAGGTGCAGGGATGTGGTCTTTGCTGCCACCGGGATCTGGTCCCTGTGCCCTGCCTCGCTGGGGCTGGGGGGCCACATCTCACCTGCCATGCCCTGAGCTCCTCGTTTAGCCTCCTGTGAAAGGCAGGGAAACAAGCTGCTGCTCAGACACCACTACCATTCAAAACCTGAATTGCAACTTGCAAAATCTGAGAATTAGTGTAACTACCTGATCTCAGAATGTAACCTCTCTCGGGTCTCAAGCGCCCTGGTTTATTCAGGTTAGCGGAACTGTTTTTCAGGCTATTACGTGCATGCAAAAAGAGCGAGAAGCCAACCTTGGATGTGGATGCATTAAGAGGACTCCAGGCTCAATGGCCTTAGGGAAAGCCAAACTTTTGCCGCCCGAGCTGGCAATCCTGGTCAAAATTCCACTAGACTTTATCTTAAACACACGGCAGAGGATCAGCCTAAATAGCCAGCAGTGCCGGTGTGAGCCCTGGCTGGGAGCCCCCAAGCAGCGAAGCGAACTGCACTTACTTCCAGAGTACATGTCAAATGTGTCTGTTTTCAGGAGCTTCCCGCTTGATCCTGAAAGGTCAAAATTCAAAACAGAGCAAAGTGAGTTTGCTTTGCCTGGCCACCAGCTTGGGGCTCCTGCTGCAAAATGCTTTGCTCTTCCCTCAGTGTGTTGGATTTGCGGCGATGGCCACCACGTTACTTGGTGGAGTTCATGGAGCCATCATGCACGACCCAGGTGGGTTTGTTCCCATCTCCCTGGCAGTGCTTGGCAACCATAATTGTGGCTGTGCAGCCCATGCAGCACCAGACTGATGTGCTTTTGGCCCAGCCGTGGTGATGGGATGAGGTCCCCAGTGGCCCGTTCCCTCCCTGGGGAGGAAGGGACCCCAGCCGTGGGGAAAGGAGGGGTTAGTGCCTGCCTGACTCACCGTTCACCAGCGCGATGTTCAGGCCTCTGCCAATGTTGTTTTTCACGGAGCTCATGATGCTGCAAAAGAAAGCAGAGAGCACCCGTAAGTGCAGGGATGCACTGGAGGTGCTGGTGCCAGTGAAGCTGTGATGGGGCAAAGTGGCTGCAGACAGCAAAGTATCCCCAGAAGCAGTAGCAAAGAAAACTATTTCCAAATTTTTTTTTACCACAAATGCACTGCGATGGCCGTTGACATGCTCGGCAGAGGCCAAACTTGCCCTGTCCAAGCCCAGGCCAGCCATGGCTGCCCCATCCCTGCTGTGTGCTGCTTACACCTTGTCATCGAAGCAGATGGAGGGTCCCACCACGTTTGCAGCACCGCTGATGATTTTGAAGGCAAAATAGTTCTGGGGGCAGCTCTTCCGGTTCCCACACTTGTGCCGGGGCACCTGCTCACCTGCAAGGGAGGAGCGGAGCTGGAAGCCATGGCGTTGGCCCCACAGGGAGACACTGGCCATGTCCCCCAGGGGCTGAACAGGGCTGGCACTGGGATATGGTGGGCCACTAAGGGGGCAACACCTGGACCAGCTCCTTGCATGAAGGAGGCTTGTCCCACAGGGCTGGGACCAGCTGCTTCTTTGAGGTTTATGGTTCCAAGGCTTGGTGCAGGGTGGGATGAGGTGGTTGGGTTGCTGGGTGCTGCTCTGGGTGTGAGCAGCAGGATGGCATGGCCGATACCATGGGGATTGCAGAGGGCTGTGTGCCGGGACTGTTCGAAGCTGATGCTCGTTCAAAGCCAGCCCCTTGCAGCTTTTCTGCCTGGAGCTTCCCCATTCTTGACCAGGGTAGGGACCTGTGCCACGCTGCCTGGACGGGGCCTGTGACCTGCTTCATACTGTGAAGGGGTGTTTCTGCTGGGGCAGGGGGATGGTGTGAAGGTTCATGTGCTTGCAGAGCCCGCCAAAGACACTGCTGCTGTGTGCGATAATGAAATTCCCCTGTCTTTTGGAGGGTGAGATTTTGCCTTGGGAAAGGGGCTCTCACGAGCAGCTATTGTGCTTCCACCATCACCCCCAGCCCTGGAGCAGTGTTGTGTGATGGAGATGAAGTCAAGAGCAGTACTCACTTCTGGGCTTGTTGGTGACACCTGTGGGTACCAAGCAGGAGGGTTAGACACCTCAGAGAGCTGCTGGCTCTTCCCCAACCCGGCTGTCTGAACCTGCTCCCCATGGCTGTGAGCCCCCCGAGCCGCCTGCCCTGGCGCAGCTTCCACTGCACTGTTCCCTCCCTGCCCTGATGGCCAGAGCTGGTGGCTACAGCCTTGGCCAGGGACTGCAAGCACAAATGTTTGCGGCAACTATATGCAGCTCTGGGGTCTCGCTTGCAATGGGGCCACCCCCACCCTCCCTGCAGACCCACCCGGAGCCCCGCCGGCACCTCACCGAGCCAGCTCCGCAGGCTGACGACTTTCCATCTGTGATCAAAGTACATCTGCACGATGAACCACATGCCCAGCAGAGTCATGAACAGTGCCGCGTACCGGATCACGCCTGCGAAGGGTGGGAGAGGAGCCAGGTGAGAGCAGCAGCAGCGTGGGTCGGGGGCTGGACCATCCCTCTGGCTTCTTGGGGACTTGGTCCTTGTGTCCCCAGGTTACCCAGGCACAGGGCGACAGCCAGCGCTTGTGTGGCATGCTAACGTTCCTTCCTTCATCCTCTGAAAGGACTCTCATCTCTTAATTAATATCTCTAGGGCGTGTGGAGACATTCAGATAGGCATTGCGCTTCTACTGGGAGGCACTATTCATATTTCTCTCTGCATTAACGTAAATCTGATAATTAGTTACAAAGCTATGTAAATCCAAATACTTCTTACGTTCCCAGCACTGGGAAGGCTGCTATCCCCCAATTAGTCACTAGCTACAGCTGAGCAGCTGCTAATCCAAATGTGATTGGCATTTGGCTTTAAAGCAGCACTCATCGGAGCAAAACGTTCCAGTCCTGCATGGAAAGAGAGCAGAAAAATATACTTCTATTGCCGCTGAATGGCTCTTATGGAACCAGGAATGTCTCAATAGCCATCTCTTCCCAGCCACAGAGGGTTTCACTGGGAAAAATACAACAGGCTGAAATCTACACAAATCTTTTAAAAACCTGATGCTTATATAAAGGCTCTTTCCCGTGGCCCTGGCAGGGGAATGTCAGGGTAGCTGGGCATGGAAAGGGTCATGTAAATGAGAGAGAGGCAGAAAAAAATGTAGAAAAATGGACAGAGAAAAGTAAATCTCTCTGTCTCCCTTCTTACCTGTCACCCGCATGGTGGCAGGGAGAGAGAGCGCAACTGAGGGGGTGGCCAACGGTCACAAGTCCCTCTGAGAACAGAGAAGGAAATACCATAAAGCATAGCTGTAACCCACCCAAGCCAGGCAGATACTAGATCAAACAATAATTGCTATGTTTAGGCATATTTGCAATAACTAAGAGATCACCAAAGATGTATAAATTCCTATCATCAAGCACGTGTGCTTGGTCCCACCCTGGTGTTGAAGTCCTGGCTCCTGTATGGTGGAGCAGGCTGCACTGGTTGAGCTTACTTGATTTTTAAGCCTCTGAACACTTCACTGTGACTGTCTGCTGCCTGTGTATTCCCGTCTCGCGTCCTTTTCTCAGTAATGGATCACGCTTTTCTATTGTGATGAGCTCAAGGAGCACATTTTCAATCATGGCTTTGCTGCATTTTATTCTGATTTCCTTCTGGGATTATGCAAAACAGGTTTCAAATATTAGGGGCTGCAAAATGCCATCTGAGGACACACTGCGATTTCGCCTGGCCCAGTCAGAGGAGTCTGCGGGAACAAGCTTGGCCTCCTTAAAACCGGAAAGGGAAGGGAAGAAGGGCAGCGCTGCTGAGCTGGGCAGAGCAGTGCCGGGTCTGGGGACACCTGATTTAAGAATGGAAATGTTTCCACTTGTCCAAGTCCTGCAGCATCTTCACCCACGTAAATGGGGAGTGGTTGCAATTTAAAGCGTAAACTATTTCCTACCTGAGCAAGTCTGTCCGCCCCCCTCCCTCCTGCTGCCAGCCCCGCGGATGGGACGGGCACCTTCCACCCAATGCACCGGGCTCCTGGGGGCAGGGGACCCACTCCTACCTTTGAAATTTGGGGATGCAGCCTGGCAAACGTCCGTCCTGGAAACCACCCTGGAGTCCTAAGGCGAATTGTCACCTGTGAGACGTGTGCTCAGAGCTAAAGAGTCTAATGTTAACTAAAGCAGCCCTTTGGTGAGGCTTGACATAAAAAAAATTTGCAAAAAAGCTATGCTGAGAGTTGCTTTTCCTGTTTGAAGGGTAAATAAGGAGCACCGGCTTGTAGCAGGGCTGGGCTGAAAGTTGCTTTCGGGCTGCTGCGTCATGAGGAATGAGAGAACTTTGCCTCCCGCCCAGCCCTGCTCCGGGTCCCCTCCCAGGGCTTGAGTTCAGGGAAAGTGCCCGTGGCCACGTGGTTGAGCATGGCCATGGTGCAGTGTCCTCCCTCGGGTGCCCTGGGAGGGATGCACGTGGCATCTCCCTTGGGCACAGCGGTGGGATGCTCCCCCTTTGCTTCCCCCGCACCCTGGGGCGAGTTGCAGCATCACCACATGGGGCTTTTCAGCAGCCTTAAAAACAAGGAGGAAACCAATCTGCACCGCAGGAGGAAAGCTGCTGCTTTCCTGCTTGGCCTGAGACGCAGCAGCGGGTTTGCAGTGGGCCAGGGTGGCCGGTGCCCGGCGGTGCGGCAGCCCCGCAGTGATGTTTCAGCCATGCGAAGCTGGAGCCCAGCACTGCTCCCCACCAGGACCCACCACTGCGCCCGTGTGTGCAGCAAGGAGGAGCTGCCGAAGTCACTCCGACGTGAGCTATCGGCTTCCCGTGGGAGAGTGGCCTCATGGCTTATCTGCATTTTAAAGGAAGCCTTGGAAGGTATTTGTGTACCCTCCTGTATCCCGGCAGTGTAGTTTTGATAGTGTATCAGCTAAGCGCACTTGCTTCCCAGCTGCATCTCACTTCTCCTCTCTGCAGCTATTCCTCCCAGGCATGAGTGGCCGTGAGCAGGAATCTGTCTCTGCAGGAGGTGGCACAGGGGTCCGCAGCACCTGCAGCCCTTCCCTGGTGCCACCTTGTTGTGGCCTATCCCAGCCCGTTGGCACGGGGTCCCTGAAATGGGTTTTAACCTTGTGCTGGAGCTGACATGAACAAGCCTGTTTCACTGAGCCCGTGGAAGAGCCAGAGGACTTAAAACAGGCAGTTTAAAGGCTTTGGAGCACAGATGATGCCCGTGACTGGATCTGGTGGGACAGCACCGAGCTCTTGCCTTTTACTCCTTCTCGCATGAAGTTTTGCTTTTTAAATGCAAGGAGCTTCTCCCACGCCTGGCTCCCCAGCCCAGTGCCTGGTCTGGTGTTGGGAGTGACGGGAGCAGAAGAGCAGTCCTTAAAGTTCCCCTTGGCAAGCCACAAAGTCTTCAAAACTGGCATTGGTTTGCTTTTGATTTGCTTTTGGAACTTGTTGCGTTCCCCTTCAACTGCCATGAGCAGAGCCAAGAGCAGGTGAGGGTTTGGACCTTGGCCATAACTTGGACACAGTGATTTGTCCCTGCTGCTGCGGGGGACACCAGCCTCACCAGGGCTGCACACTGCTCTCCACCAAATTTGTTTTTTTTCTATGCACATTTTGATTTCATTGCAGAGGGAGAGAAATGGAAAAATAAAACAATAAACCTTACCGCTTCAGGGAAGGAAGTTATTTATTTGGGCTATTTATCTTTGCCTTGATCCCAGGTAAAATTTATTGGGCAAAGTCGCTGGGTGGTGAAATTCTTGGACCCTTACGGTGTTACAAGAGGGTAACCGTGTCCTCGGATTTCTATGATACTCTCTTTTAATTGTTCAGATTGATTTTTATTTTTTTTTTGGCAAGAGTGTGCCAGAAAAAAAACCTGTCTGTATTCTGGCATCTGCCAGAGGGCAACTCGTAGGAGAAGGAGGAAGGAAGGAACTGTCATGGGTGACAGAGTTATTTATCTAATAAACCTGAAACTTATTTGCTTAAAAACCATTCCGGGAACAAAAAAGTTCTCAGACAAATATTGCTAAAGAGCTTCATGGCGTTGTAAGGGGAAGGCTCCACCCTGAGCCTGCTCAGGACTGAAGTGCTGCTTGGCAGTGCTGAGTTATTGCTGCCAAGAAGAAACCCAGGCACATCGCTGCCCTCGCAGGGAGGTTTTCCAGGATGTCGTGGGTGAACGTTCCTGTTTCCTCCCAGCGCCGGAGGAAAACTTCACTTCTCTTCCCCAGAAACTTCTGGCATTGTTGGTTTTGGGTGTTGGGTTTTTTTTCCCCTGCTTTTGAGCCCCACACGTCCCTCTCTCTCCCAGCAGGTCCCCGACCACGAATGAGCCTTCGTTTTGGTACAGGGTGGGGATGCAGCTCCAAAGAGGGCGGCTGCCAGATGTCATCTGTGCCCACACCCAGCGAGTCACTGCTTCAAAAATCAGGGGTTTTCTGTGAAACTAAATGTGGGGGTGCAGAAGAGGGGCTGGTGCAGGAGGTGTTCACATCCATTGTGTGTCCAGGGTTGGTCCCACCACAGGATTATGGAGGATGCTGTGATGCTGTTTTTACTCTCAAAAGGAGTCAATCTTTTTGTCTTTGCTGAGTTACTCAATGGGAGAGCACTCTTTGCCAGAGGGCTTATAAATTCCTCAGCTCATAAAAATGCTTAGCCAGCTGCTGCACCCGCCAAACGGCTGGAAAGGGCATCTTACGGTGAAACTGCCCCCAGCACGAGTCAACAGTTAAGCAGGGTGAGGCCCTGATCCCGAAACAGAAGCCGAACAGGATGCACGTGGCGGTGCGCAGGGGTGCGGGGCTGGGGCCACTGCGGTGGCCGAGCCCTGTCTGTGAGCAGGACTGCAGACAAGGTGGAATGTGACACCCAGAGGTGCCGCCGGGGAAGCCAGGCTGTGGGGCCGGTGCAAAGGGCACAGGTTGATTTCGGCACCTGCTGCAGGTGCGTCCCTGCCCCGCTGACTGTGACGGGGCAGGCACGGCCCCATCCTGCACTTGTCTGCCAGTGGGGCATCACCCAGATGTGGCTGCCACCGATTTGGTCTCCTGTTCTTTTATTTGTCGTTGGCAGCTGCTTGTCCAGTTTTCTGTCATGGAGCCCGAAGCTAAATCCCTATCAGCTCGCCTCTCCGGTGAGGTTTCCCCGAGCAGTGACTCATGAGCTGTAGCAGTGGGGAGAGATGGAGAGGCACGATCGCATCCCTTCCGGTGTGGGAATGGTGGCCAGCAGCTCGCTGGCCATCCCCGTGAGGCGGGTTGCAGGTTGTACCAAAGCAACCCATGCCAAAATGCCAGGGCAAAAGGAGTGACACAGTGCTGGTGCTCAGGGCTGGCAGCAAGCTGGCTGCGGGGATGAGGCACTTCTGGGGCTGAAAGCGCAGGGTAAGCGTGGACTGCGCAGCAGTCCTTCCACTGGTCAGCTGCGGCAAAGGGCCCTGGTTCTTACTGACTGCATGTATGGGAGGACCTGAAATGCGTTTTTGGCAGCTGGCAAAGCCCCGGGTGCCAGCACCCCGAGAGCTCCCGGTCAGTACCTGGGAGGTGTCCTGGCTGTCAGGGTGGTGCGCTGGAGCACTGAACGGTGAACACCCTGCAAATTCGTCCAAAGCCATGACAGATGAAGGGGTTTAACCTGGACCGCACTTCACACAGCTGATTCTATCACATATCCCGTACTGGGTGGAAACGCAGATGTAACCCTTGCTGTTAACACAGGTAAGTCATTAGTTCCGTCTATGAAACCGGCACAGCTGCACCCCACAGAAAGGATGCCAGTGCATGGGGGTCTCCACCTCCATGCTACAAGAAGGAGGAACAAATAAAACCTTCCATGTGCAACCCTCTAACCTGCCAGCAAGCCAAAACAAAAGTGCTGCAGGACGGCATTATTTCAGTCATGCTCTAGAAACCCCATTTCCGCGAGGCCGTGGGGACGGGACAAATCTACGTACCGCTCAGTGTCCCGGGCGCGCCGTCCCTCTCCGCAGGCTGTGTTGGTGCCGGGGCATCCCGGGGAGCTGGGACACCATGTGCTTGGCAGCGTGGCGGTATGGCTGCCCAGCCCGGCCCTGCCCTCGGTGACTCATGGCACCTCCCCAAGACTTACCTCACTGCCCGGCATGGGGCTGGGTGTCCCGGCGTGCTGCCCCACGGGGCACAGTGACCAGCAGTGGTTGGGAGCAGCTGTCCCACGGGATGGGAAAAAAACATC